TTCTGGGAGTTGAAGTCCACACGTCTTCAAGTTGCCAAGGTTGAGAAACACTGATATAGAAGAATAAGTGCAGGAATGGGGTCTCGTAGGACTCCTGAGCACAAATAGAGGCCATGAGAGGATGTTACACACCGGAGATACAGTGGGAGATAGCTTAAGCATTTGAATATTGAGAGATTTGGGGACTATACCTTATTATATTCAGGCTTTCTGTAATTAGAAAAATGAGAACCAGTTTGGTATGGTGGTCAAAGGCACCCGGCTAGAAACTGGGAGACCCTGAGTTCTAGTCCCATCTTAGTCATGAAGCCAGCTGGGTGACCTTGGGCCAGTCTCTCTCTCTCAGCCCTAGGAAGGAGGAGAAGGCCAGGGCAAACCACTTCTGAAAAACCTTGCCAAGAAAAATGCAGGGGCTTGTCCATGTCGTCACTAGGAGTCAAGACCGCTTGAAGGCACCCAAAAAAAAAAAAAAAAAGCCGTAACTTCCATTTAAAATATTTCTTAACCATATTTCATCAGATGAAATAATTGGGGTGAAAATGCGCAGACAGGGTAATTAAAAAAAACACACGCTTCTGAAGCAATTTTGGATTATGCCAAGCCCCTTTTAGTAAATGTTGACATTTACTGGTTAATGATGGAAAGAGCCCCTTTTATAAAAAGGCTCTGTATATGAGATATACTCGTTGAAGTCCACACATCTTCAAGTGGCCAAGGTTGAGAAACACTCTGCTAGAGAATGATGGGCATCTGAAGCTACATCGTGGTGAATATTAAACTTTCTCAAAGTGACCTCACTTCTTAAAGCTATTTAGACGGTTGCGAGATTTTCTGGGGACTGTTACAAATAATGGTACTGTGGTGCAGGTTTTGAGAACTTACGATCAGACAAATATTAACATTTTTTAAATTTACTTGTGAAGTGATAGAGAGAAGGATGAAATTAGGTCATTTAGCAAAGGTACTTGAAATTCAAATCTGTGGCAGAATTTTCTCAAATTGCCATCACCTTCACCCATCCTCTTCTGAGTTTTAAACACTGACATGTATTGAGTTTCTGATTCTGTTGTATGTTATGTATATTTTAAATTTAGATTGTGTTTGTTATCCATACTTAGTTCAGGTTTCTGCTATTTATACTATATTAGTCTCTTTTTGGTTTTAACCCTGAGGTCTTTCCAGCACAATAAGCTTGTTAGTTACACTGTAAAATCCATCACTTTGGTTCCCTTGAATTTGCATGTTAATCTTCGGATAACCAAAAAAAAAAGGCAACTGAAAGCTAATCACTGTGATCCTTCTGAAAGCTCGTGGGGGAAGGGGGAAAGATCTTGGATGGAGAGAATCCGTTCTGAAAATGCGGCAATACTTTAAAGAAAATGGAACTTGCAGATGGAAAGATCTTTGAAACAGTGACTTGGCGGTTCTGCGTAAAATGTGAATTCAAACGTGATTGCTTCTGACCAACGGTCTCTGCTCAGTTTCGCAAACATAGGAGGCCCCCTCCTCCAGACTAACTTGTTCCTTGATTTTGCCCTTTTGTAGGAATTGTGTCAAATCTGTGCGTGCTTTTCGAAAGTAGCTGGTTCTCGTAGCTGATTGCCTTTAATATGCATGGGCGGCTTTAAAAGGACTGTACGGTAATCATCTTTTAGTGTATTGGGAAGATGCTTTGCAAATAAAGAGTAATGAAATGGTCATTTCTGTCCACAGCTTTAACATTTATATGTTCTATCCGTACCTCAGAGGGTGGTTATTTCACACTACAACCTATGAGCATCTACAAGGGTGTGTGGAAATGGTATGGTGACATCATTGCATGAACTCTGCTGCGTATGTACTTGTGTTGGGTGTTAAAACACCAATTTGTGAGAGTGGCATTGGCGTGCTGGCATTGCACTCATTTCCTTGTTGTAATGGTTTGCTGTGGACCCTGCTGTGAACCCAGCTGAGGCAGCCTGGATGAAAAATTCATTTATCCCATTAAGGGTAGTCCTCGCTTAACCACAACTGGAGCAGGCAACTCCATCACTAAGCACCACAGTCGCTAAGCAGAAAATCATGTGACCATGATGGACTTACGATGTCACTTCTCCTTTGGTTGTTAAGCAAGTTACTGCAGTTGTTAAGCCAAACATCAGGTGACCACGACTTGCGATTTTACTTCCGCCTTCTCCATTAACTCTGCTTGTTGCAAGCCAGTTGCAAAGTGCACGAATGGTGATCACGTGACCACGGGACACTGCAACAGTCGTAAATGCAAGGCTTCGTTGCAAAGCTGTTTTTTTTTAACATCGTCATAACTTTGAACAACTACTAAACGAGGCAGTCAGTAAACGAGGACTGCCTGTATTTTAAAGCAGGCTATTCCTCCCTTGCATCAGAAACAGACAATTGTAGAGCATGTAGCCCAGGAATCAGCACAATATTATGGTGCCTGGATGCCTCAGAGGCAGCCTCAGAACCCTGACATTAACTAAAAATTGGCCAGAAGCTTGCCAGCGTTTGCAGCTTTTTCGTAAGATGTTGACTTTCGCAGATAAGATCAGCTATTAGGGTTTTTTTTTCCCAGAGTATTTTTTGGTGCTGCTCCATCATGTGATAGAGCTTGCAGCTTAACAAGGCAATTGATTTCTGACATAGCAGGACAAGTGCTGACTCTTTTCCTCAGCTGGGTAAAAAAAAAAGGGGAGGCTGCAGCTTTAAGGAATCTACTCATTAAAGTTAATATGACTCTTAAGGTAGTGGCACCATTTTTTCAGGCTCCAGCAGGAAAAAAAATTGGGCTACTTTAATGAGTACCCAAGAGCATCCTTTCCCCAAATCATTTTCAAAGCGTGCTCAACCTAATATCCCCTGTTACCTCTCTAGTGATTTAAAGTACTCATTCCCTGATCATGTACTTGGCAGGAATCCTTTCTAAATTTGCTTTTGGGTAAACCTGCAGAAGAAATTGCAGAGAGGTTGATTTTTGTGCTGGGAGCAGCACGCTCAAGGTCTGACCAAGCAGGGAAGAAAAAAACGCCTTGTAAAAAAAGCAGAACAGATGTCAGTCGCTTTAGGAGGTGCCTAAAACGAAAAGCGATGCCTTCCAAGCACAATTCTGAGTCTTTTGAGCAAGGCATAGTGAGGAGAATGGGAGCGGGTTACGAGAATTCCAGCAACTGAATTATTTCCCCTTTAAAATCAGTCTATCCCTAATGCATTTTCTGATTTCCTTTCTAACAGTTTTCCTATGCCCCAGTGAAGGCTGGTCTCCTCTGTTACAGGGAAGTTTACAGCTGGCTGTTTCCATAATGGTCTCCCAATTTTTTTGATCAGTCTGGGAACCAGCTGTCACGTTTTAAGCACCAAGACTTTGGATGCTCC